GGATCGTAAAGCTCATCCTGGGACACCTTCCACTATCCCAGGTTGCTCCAAGCCCTGTCCAACCTGGCCTTAGGCGCTTCCAGGGCTGGGGCAGCCACAGCTTCTCTGGAAAACCTGTGCCAGGGACTCACACCTTCTTAGTAAGGAATTGTTCCTCATATCTAATCTGAACATGCCCTCTTATCAGTTTAAAACCATTGTTCCTTGTGCTGTCACTACCCACACCTCTGTAAAAAGTCCCTCTCTTTCCTTTCCATAAGCTCCTTTAAGGTACTGGAAGCCCACAGCCTCCCCAGAACCTCATTTGCAGGCTGAACAGGCCCAGCTCTCTCAGCCTATCTTTGTAGAAGTGCTTCATAACTGACCCACCCATGAAAAATGCAGGTTATTCTTGAATGCCTCGCCCCCACACATCATCTCTCTTCTATTGGTACCTCAGCACACACCCAGCCCAGCCTAACTCAGACACATCCACCTCTCCAGAAATAACCTCTATCCAGGGCTAACAAATCCCCACAGATCCATGGAAAACAGAAACACACAGACACAGTCCCTGCAGCACCTTGCAGGGATCACATCCCGGGCAAGATCCCAGGAGGTTGTGCCAGGCGTGTACTCAGCTGTTTATCAGCCCAGGCAGACACTTTGGCACCACCTTGCTCCTTTGTCTTCTACAATCCAACTACTCAGATAACAGGGATGCCCTTCACCATGAAACAGGAGCTGTTGCTGCTGCTCTGGCACTGCCAGAGGTTAATGGGGAACATGTAAAGTGTATTCCTGTTTTGAACCCACCATTTATATCAAGGGACCACGCGAGAGTCTTGGTTACTTTTAATTTGAAAAGGGGAAGTTTCCAGTCCTGTGGTGACATGGAAAGCACAAAGCTCAGCATTGCCTAAAATCTAGGCAGGCAAATATTAATAAAAGCTCAGCATGAGGAGAAGGAAGGAAGGAGCAAATAGCAATGCCAGGGTTCCCTTCCTGGACTGGGAAGCAGCCTGCCAGCATGGACTGAGCCATGAGACGGCTTCCAGCCCACTCAGGATGTCACGTGCTTGCTGCTGCCACTGGCCTGTGACACCTGCACAGATACCATTCCAGGGACAGCACACAGTGTAGGTGAGAGCTGCAGGGAAAAGGGAATGTCTGTAGCTTTTTGTAGGGAAATGAATCCTCCAGCAAAAAGCCTGTCAGAACTGAATCCAAGGCTTCCCAGAGGCTACAGAGCTTGGCCTTGGAGCTGTGTGGGGTGGAACTGAAGGGAGATGCTGGGAACTCATGCTGCCCTGGTGTGTCCCTTGGCATCCTTCCCAGGTGGTGACCGTGGCTGTTTACAGCTTCTTCCTGGCCTGTCTGATTGGGAGGCAGTTCCTGGATCCAGAGAAAGCATATCCTGGCCATGAGCTGGATCTCTTTGTGCCTGTCTTTACATTTTTGCAATTCTTCTTCTATGCTGGCTGGTTAAAGGTAAGTCCCAGAAAGCACAGCTGGAGCTGGAATCTGACCCAGCCAAGGGTTTTTCCCAGTGTGAGCTCACCAGGAACCCTGCTGTGTTCTTTGATCTATAGGCAATAACAGGAAGCCAAGAGGGGCTGAGGAAGTGCCAGGACTTTCTAATTTTCCAACTGTCTCATTCTGGACACCAGCTGCACTTTTCCTAGGCTTTGGTCCTGACTAGAGGGGAAAAAGGAGCTCCTTAAGTTGCAGGAGGGTTGTGTGAGCAGGGAGGAGATATTATAAATTCTAATGTCTCCCAGCCTCTGGAATGCTTCCACTTTTAACCCACCCCCATTTGGGAAGAAAAACATGGCTTGGAATTCAAGGGACATCACACCTGACTTCTCTCTGCAGGGAAAGGGACAGGGATGACAATGGTGACCTTTGCTGTGTGCTCTCCACATGCAGGTGGCTGAGCAGCTCATCAACCCTTTTGGGGAGGACGATGATGACTTTGAAGCCAACTGGCTCATTGACAGGAACCTGCAGGTAAAGGGGAGGAAGATCTGCCAGTTGAGCCTCACCTGAAGAGGAGCATCAAGGCAGGACAGTGACCAAGCTCTCCTGCAACACCTCTGCCTCCAATGGGAGACCCTCCCAATCCACAGCAGGGAATTTGGGGCTTCTGGCATGTCTTTGTACACAGAGGCTGCCTGCAGCTTCAGTCCATGCTCTGGCACATGGGATAGATCAAGGCTGCTTGTTTCAGGCCTCGGCTGCCTTTGAATGACATCATTCCTGCCCCTCCTTGCTTTCCTGCCCTGAGTCCATCTGAAACTGCCTGCTCTGCTTTCTGCCATGCAATAACGATGTACCTCCCCACCCTTCTGTCCTAGTGAGTCTGTTGCTTTCCTCTCTCCTTCAGCACCACTTTCCTTTCAATTAATCAAATCTCAGTGTGAGAAACAACCAAAATGACAGGAAACCACAGCAACCCCAGCCATTTGCCTGGTTTCCGTGCTGCACCGCTTCCTCCAGCTCCGTGTTCCTTTGTCCCTTGGTAACAGGCACACAAAATGTTCCTCACTCACCCCGTGTGACATTCCTGCTGTCCCCCGCAGGTGTCCCTCATGGCAGTGGATGAGATGCACCAGGATTTACCCATTCTGGAGAAGGACCTGTACTGGAACGAGCCTGACCCCCAGCCACCCTACACCGCGGCCACAGCTGAATACAAGCGCCCGTCCTTCCTGGGCTCCACTTTTGACATCAGGTGAGTGCAGGGACAGAGTGTCACAACACCTGGATCAGGTCTCATGTAGGACATTGCACTTGAGGAGCTTTTAGGTTCATCCACAACAGCCAACATTCTCCATGGAAAATGGAGAACATCCTTTCCTCACTCACCTGTATTATGAGCTTCCCTCTTTTGGGGGGGGCTAGTGGCAATACAGGGAGAGGCTTGCCACTGGCAGCAGCATTCCCAGCACTGCTCGCCCCTCCAGGAGATCCCCCCCTCCCTCTGTGGCTCTGTAACAGTCCATTTTGCCTTTCCCAGCATGCAGAAGGAAGAGATGGAGTTCCAGCCCCTGGAGCAGATTAAAGAGAATGAGGAGGCCAACCACTCCACTCCCTTGCTGGGACACCTGGGCCGCCTCCTGGGTGTCCAGTCCCCAAACTTCTCCAGGTCCTCTTCCCGGATGAACCTGCTGCGCCGGCGAGGAGATCCCACGTCGCCCTTCTCCCATTACACCTACCAGGACATGGGGAAGGCTGGAAGCCCTTGTGGCATCAGTCAGCCAAGGGGGGACTCCCAGGAGCAGTGGGACAGCGAAGAGGGAAAACTGAGGGAGTTTGATGCTTTCATGTCCACGCCCTTTTACGAGAGGCCTGGCTTCTACAGCGCTCCACAGACACCCATCAGCTCCATCCCCATGATTTTCCCTTCCCGGCGCCCAGGGCGCAAGAAGCCACCGGCACTCTCCAGCATTGCTGCGTGCTCCACTTCTCTAAGGGATGTCATTGTCAACGCCTCCCCTTCCAGGGCCAGCGATGTGGACAAGAGTCAGAGCTCCCTGGGCTCTGCTGCAAAGGAAACCTTTGTTTGGCCAACAGAGCGGAGTAAAGGCCCTGACTCTGTGGCCGTGACAGTAGAAGAAGGAAAGAGCAGCTCCAGGGAAGCTGCCACCACAGGAAGTCCAGGAGCGCAGTCCACAGCATCCAACAGCCCCAAATTCCCCTTCCTGCCAGAGCCCCCTGAGCATGAGAAGCATGGCAGCTTCAAAAGCCTGAAGAGCTCCAAAGCCTCACGCCCACCCTGGCTAAACCTGGAGAGCACAGCCTCGGCCACTCCCAATTCGGAGCATTCCAGTGCCTTTCACACCCCCAGCAACAAAACCCCTGGAGGCAGCGCCTCCCTCTGCTTCTCCTTCACTCCAGTCACCTCTCCAGTGTTGGAAAGGTCCCACAAGGGCAACCTGGGCCCTGAGGCTCGCAGCCTGAGTTTGGAAGATGCAGCCAGTGCTCCAGAGCAGCACCCAGAGGTTTCCAGGAACATGAGAGACACTGGGAATGGAAACACCAACCCCCCAGCTCCCAAAGAGCCCAGGAGAGCAGAGAGTCCATCCCCCAATGACTCTGGAATCTCCCTAGCCGAGGGTGACTACGTGGGGCTGATGGAAGTGATCCTGGAGGCCAGTGAAAGCCCAGGGGAGGAGCAGATGGACCAGTACAGCTAAAGGGGAATCCATGGATCCATGGGATACCTGCCTTATCCTGGCACTCACCCAACAGAGAGGTACTGGACATGCAGCTGGAGCTCAGCCTGGGCTGAAACCAGCACTAAGGACACGCTGCTCCTAGCCTCAGCTACAGCAGCAGACACAACTCATGTTGCAAGAACAAAAGCACCAAAAAACCCAACCTGTAGCAAAAGAACAGGACTTTGAGTGTTAAATATTGCAGAAACCAGCCTGACCAGCCAGTTGTACCCCAGAACAGGAGCACAGTTAATGTGGCCACTTCTCTCCTCACAGCAAGAATGAGAGCTTGAGTCCTTTCTCAGGCAGGACTTGCACTTCTAACAAGATAGTCCAGGGAAAAGTAAGGGACTGAATCAAGTCCCATCACTTGTGATGCAGACCCACAGTGCTTCTTCCAGTCCTGTCTGGCAAGTATTTTCCAGTACTGGGATAAGGCAAGGTAAGGCCTTGCCAGCACAGGCAGCTGCAGCATCTGCCCAGCACATTGCTTCCTTCTGAAGTTCCACATCTCCCACCAGGAATTTGACAGTGCTCAGAGAAAGCTGGATGGCAGCAGACAACACTCAGCTGATATTTACTGCCCACTCTCAGAAAATAAAAAGTGAGGCTCAAGCCCAGGACCTTGGTTTCGTTTCCTCATTTTAGTTCCCTGCAAGGAATTTAAAGAAACCACAGAGATTTTCCCACTTCTGCCTTCAGCAGCAGCTGCAAATCCCCCATGTCACACAACAAATTTACCTCCCACTGCCTTCACTACAGCTGCCTACTCTCCCTCCAAACTAAACAGGAAAAGCCAGCTGGAACCAAGTCACTTTATTGGCTGGAGGGCAGTACATAAAACACGAACAGAACAGGGGATATTTGGTACAGAGTATGGAACTGTTTAGCTAAGTAACTGAAGCTGCATGCATGGCTGGACAGTAAGTAGGAGTCCCACTGAAACCCAGAGCATGGCTCCTGGCAGGGCTTCAGCTGTGGCACTCCCCGAGGGTGTGCTTGTCGAAGAGATACTCTGCCATGCCGTATTTGGGGGCCCCCATCTTCCGCAGGTTGGTCACGTGGTCACCCAGCTCCTTGATGGCTTTCACCTGCTCATCCAGGTAATGGGTCTCAATGAAGTCACACAACTGAAAGGGAGACCAGAGGTTTAAATTCAGGCCTGAAACCCTACTGAGGCTCTCTAAGGGGAGGATGCAGAATTTTCAAGCTGAGAGGAAGCAGCCTCTTGTTTTGTTGCAGAACAAGATCAAAGTGAGCCAGGCTTAGGTAGGCTCATTTGCTCCAGAACCCTGCAGAGCCAGGCAGCTCAGGAAGCCTCTCCTCTTCCTCATGGCAGGAAGCATTAGCCAAGCTCCTGAACAGATCTGAGACACCCCCACTGCACAGCAAACCCACCCACAGCAGTGAGGATTTACTAATCCTCAGTCCCTCTAACTTAGGCAGGGCACTGCCAAGAGTGCCTGGATTCTCACATGTATTAATTTCTTCCTGCTATTAAGCAACTGCAATACAGCCTTGCAAAAAACTTCCATCTGAGAAGAATTCCGTGTTTTCAGACACTGTTCTGAAACACCAGTGCTTTTAATATTCCAAAGCAACTCTGGAATTTTGTGGCAAGAAAGCCCTTGTGACAAAAAGCCTTAAAAAGATGGAGCTCAACCCCCTCAGAAATGGTCTCCATAGAGACTGTTCACAGACACTCCAGAGGGAATAAAGCAGGTCCCTGCCACTTTAAAAATGCTGCTGGAAGGACAGCAGTAACTCCCCCCAAAGGGCTCTGGAAAGGCTGCAGCCCTGGTTCACACCTTTTTTCACCTTTAACAACACCAGGGACACACAGCTCAGCCCCAAAGCCACATCCTTGGACAGCCCCACTGATCCTCAGCAAGTACTCACATGGGGGTCGTTCTTCTCGGTGGCCAGTTTGTGCAGCTCCAGCAGTGATTGGTTCACGTTCTTCTCCAGGTGCAGGGCACACTCCATGGCAGTCAGGCCATTCTCCCAGTCATCACGGTCTGGCTTCTGAAAGAGGAAAGCACAGGACATGTTTGCTATAAGAACCCACAGACCAGCAGGGTGGAGAGCTTTTAGGTCACTCTCTATTTAGACCAAGTTTAGGCATTTATGCAAAGTCAAAAGTTTGAAGTGCACCCTCAGAACAGAACTGAGCAAACCATTAAAGTCCCACTTCTCAAAACAGTGCACAGAGCACATCTGCTCTGTGTTAAGTGTAATGATGGTGATGAACCAGTTGCCTTCTAGCTCTGCTCTCACCATACAGCAAACTACCTGCGGCTCAGCACCCTCTCCACACACAAGTACTTCTTAATTAGTCAATCAGCACAAATAATCAAATTGCTCCACATCTCAAATTACTGTGCCTCTCCAGTGTCAGCTGCTGCTCCTTCTGGGGAGGACCCAGAGAGAAGCCCCAGAAGGAGTCCCCAGCTCACCTTGACGTCCTGCAGGAAGATGCGCCCACCTCTCTGGTTCTGCAGCTTCATCAGCTTCTCAGCGTGCTCCCGCTCCTCGTGGGACTGATGCAGGAAGTACTTGGCAAAGTTTTTCAGGGCCACATCATCCCGGTCAAAATAGTAGGACTGAAAAATAAAAGGGTTCACAGACTCTAAACCTCTGCTTCAGGATGGCTGCATTCCAAGCCCAGGCCAGAAAGGCAGTGTGGAACAATTTTCCCCTCAGTATCATTTGATTTTTTCCAGCTAGGATTAAATTTTAACCTGTACTCCTACCAAGGACACAAATAAAAGGTGTTTGTGTCCTTGGCTCAGTTCCAAAAACAAAAAAATTTGAAACCCCGGAGATATCTGTTCTGAGCACCATTGAACTGCAGCCTTGAAAAGTCTTTTTCACAGAGAAATCTTCCCTTTGTTTGCCTGAGCTTGTTTACAATGACCACATTGCAGGTCAGGGTCATGACTTGCAACATCAGGTACGGGTGAACCAAGAACTTTTAGGTACTCCTGCAATAAAGTTCTCTTGCTTCACTAGGCTTTCCAGGGATTAGACTAAGGAATACACTTCCTGCTTTTTTTTGTGGGGGGAAAAAAAAGTGACATTTACAATACAAGAGAAATTGAACTACAATATGAATTTAACAGCAACTAAAATATGAATCAAGCTATTTTTCTGGAAGCAAAAAAAAACCAAAAAAAAACTAATAGCAATTACAAGCCGTGACACAGCTTGTTGATTCTTTGGTCATTACCAGGATTCAATGGAAAGTTCTGTAGGAACTGCCAATTATTTACCAACCTACTACAGAACTCTCTGCTCTTAGACCAGCGGCCTGGAGGTTCAAGGCAAAGCACCGGTGCCTGTGTACCACTATCGCCTCCCAACAGAAGCTCTAAACAGGGCTCAGAACCACATTAACACAGAAAAAAAAGCTACAAAATACGTGGCAAAACACGGCACAGTGTCCCTAATAAGTCTCAATGTCCCAGCACGCCCACAGCAGCAGGATTGCTGCACAGAGGTCAGGGAACAGCTATAATGGGCGCCTCGGGCCGAAGGAGACATGGAAACACAAGGCCCGAGGAAACCATGGATTCCTACCGATTCCTGGAGGAAAACCCGAGCCTGGGAGGCGAGCACGCCTGCGGGAAGGGTGCCAGGAGCCTCCTGAGGCACCTCCCGCTACCCGGCCCGGCCCCGAGGGCAGAGGC